TCCTCCTACCTCTGTGGCCTATCCTTCTGACCTCGCATTGTTATCTTATGAGCGGCAGTAGTCTTGCTTATTACTAGTACCGAACGTGCTAGTGTCTTCCCAGTAGTATCACGCATTTCATATTTGCCTATTATTACTCAGGTAGGCATTGCGGGCACAGGCCATTGGCGACTCCTGGCTTGATGATTAAACCCAAGCTATTCATTCATCATCACCATTACCTGGTGGTCATCCACTTCCCTGTTTCTATTTAGGTCCTTGAGGGCTCTGAAACGACGGAGCTAGTCTTCTGTCCTGCGCGGTTTATCCTCTCCACGCACGCCCGCCTGATCTGCATAACGCTCGTCTCACGGCTGTAGGTCAGACCTGACAGGCATCTCCTTGTAAAGCCTACAGTTCAAGCGCTTGACAGGTCAAGGGTCACGACTCGATCAGCTCGCCACCTATATCTGGTGCCATTATTCTGCTATCAACCAGCTGGCCGGTGGCAATCCCCCCCGCTGCTGTCCCACGAGCTCTTTTCTGGCCCATCTACAGACAATTGGTTCTCTCTTCCCTCTTGGCCAGACGAGGGGCAGCTTTTGGCAGAAATCTAGAAAAGACAGACCCTGGCAGTGCCCCTCTTGCACCCCAGTCACCCAGAGTCTCCGTTCTTCGCTTGTGTGGTGTGGTCAAGGTCAGCCGCATTGACAAAGGAGAGAGCGACGGCTTCTTTCCATATCATGATCGCCGCCAGTAACTGCAGTATAACATCATCTTCCCTTTCCTGGAGATTCTTCCTCGGGGCCCTGCACCTGGGCCTCGATCCCTGAGACCGGCTCGTACGTCCCTCTCCCCTTCTCGATCCCATCGTGCCCATCTCAGGCCGGTCCTCAACCCAACCCTCCACTGCCTCCCCTGTCTCTGGACGGCGCTGGCATCCATCCCCCCCGCCGAGGGCATCCCGCGACGCCGCCTCACTCGTCGACATTGGCTCCGTCCCGACATTTTCACGCCCACCTTGAGCTGCACTGCGACCTGTGATGCTCCGCTGGCGCTTGCCTTAAACAAACACCTACATACATAAATTACCTACATACTATCCAGACCTACATACCTGCCTTACATACATGCTGCATACCTACATTACATCCACTTGCGCAAACGGTACGCACGCCGACTCTTCCACCACCCCCGCGTCCGAACTTTTTCTCTCTCTCTTTCCCCTTCCTTGGCTTTCCTTTGCCTCGCCGTCCGTTTTACCCCACACGAGACATTGCGGTTGCAATTGCGTGCGGCGGTGATTACAGATCAGCGATCCGGTCTTTTTTTTCCCTCCTCTGCTGCTGCGGCCACTGTGCTACACACATACCGCCTGCACCGCCCCCAGACCACAGACAGACTCTTGGTGCCACTGCCTCCTCGGGGAGCACACGCAGCAACCCAGCTGCGATTTGCGCCGTCTGGGGCTCTCGGGAGTCTCGTCTACAAGCCGCCGCCCTCTGGGACCGTCCATTGACGCCTGGAAACACAGCTGCACCCGCTGCACCACCAAGGACGCTCTCGCACTATGCCGAAAAACAGGCGGCTGCGGCGGCGCCCGTCCACCCCCAACCTCAGCGACCTCACCCAGCACCCTCACCACCGCCGCTTCTTCACCGCTGACCCAGCGTCACCGCCCGAGACGCCAACCACATCCCCGAGCCTGTCTCGCAAGATCAGCTCCAAGCCTCGGCACCAGCCTCCGTTCACTGAGTACGATGATGAGCTGGTTGATGACCCCCATATCAAGCCCGTTGGCAATGGCCACCAGTTTAGCTATCAGCCCACTTTTGGCCCCGACCAGCTGAGCCCTCGCTCGTCTTCCTCGCATGGCGATACCTCCTCCGCCGTGGACGATTCCTCCTCCACTGACGATGAATCGTCCGCGAGGGCGAGCGTTGTGAGTGCGCCCAATGCCTCGATCATCAAGGACTTGGACGATAATGAGTCTAGCCCCAAGCTGGTGGAGTCCTCGGACTCTGATGAGCCTGGTGGTAGCGCGGCCAATGATAATGACGATGATGACGATGACATCGATGAGGATCAGGGCGGAGCCAATTGCGAGCAGCAATCCCATACCCATGTAACAGTCACCACTGCCGTCTTCGAATTCACTCTGGAAGAGATCGATCCGATGGACGATGAGTGGGATGCGCTCGAGGTTCTCTACCCCTACGAAATTGAGCCACCGAGAAGTCGCTCCAGCTCGTGGCATAAAGAGCTGGACAAGAACATGGCGCGCGAGTTCAGAAACCTCAACTGCAGCGCATCCACCTCGGACAATGACATCGAGCTTGACGGCGAAGAGGATGCCTTTATGCGGCATCAACGAGAACTTAGACGCAGAAGGAGGGTTAGCATGTCTAGCAGTGTTGGGAAGCGAACGCACAGTGAGCTGAGCGACTCGGACGATGACTTTGGATTCCTGGATGTCAATGATGTAGGGTCAAGCGCCAAGAGGATGCGAAAGCGATTGCACAGGAGTAGTCTGCTATTCCATGATCCGCCGGAGCAGATCGAGGAGCTTGAGGAGCCGGACTCCAGTGAGGATGAGCCCCACGAGGGTCTCGCTCGGGAGCTCCCGTACTTCACCGTGGAGGTGATGGAGGTCGAGTCTAGTTGATGTTCTCAACGGATGACGATGACGATGATACGTTTTCTTGAATAATGATACGATGGCAATGAGCAACGACTTCATGACGATGGCGAATCTCTCCCATGATTTTGAATTGTTCAACAATGCATGGACCTGGGCATTGTAGTTCTACACACAGTCACGCAAAACCAAAAATTTAGCAGATTCTTGGCTAATTCGTCCCCGCCTGCGGATAAACGTGGACAGGCAGACAGACCAAGGTCGGGTCGGAATACGATATGATATGATATTGTCGAGGATGATAGGGAGAGGGCAGGATTTTTTATGCATGTTTAGACGGAGGATCACTCTCAATGGGACTTTTTTCGGTGCATTTTCGATCTTCTCACGGCACTCTCTGGGTAACCCTTTGGTCTTGTTTCATCAACCAACTTTCCTTCTCTCCTTGGAGTCTCTGTTCATTTTTATTATTTGTTTGTTTTCCTCAATTTGTCTCGTTTTTTTCTTCATCCTGATACCTGATATAGACTTTTTTTTCTTGGACATGCGGGCGCCCAACACAAAACCATCTACCTTTGCTGCGGCTGCTGGCATAGACCAGGGTAATGAAGACATAGGAGGGAGGATTCCGAGCAAATAGTTTAGCATGAAGCATGGGGTGCGGATTTGGCCTTTTGAGTTTGCAGATACAGACCGAGATAGACTGGGCGATTGAGCTGTCCAATGACACACGAAGCACGTTATCGTAGCAGCGACATTGCCTGATTTGAGCGCGTGATTGACTCTGCCCCCACCCAGCTGGGATTTTCCAGCCCCCAGGCGATTGCAGATTTGGCGAGTGGCATTGAAGCAGAAGCCAGCGTATCAGACTGCAGGACCGGGCGGGCAATAAGACAGGTATCATCAGTGAGATTGTAAGCGAATGGGGATCACTGAATTGAATTGACAAGGCTATTATGTATTCTACATATGTAGGTACGCGTTGTGTCAAACGGTGTATCGTTAATAGTCCAATAATTCTCCTAGGCTGAACCTACTGATCACATCAATGCTGATCCCATTGGAGAATGTTGCGCATACGGTCCAGCCCGCCCGTAGTACCTCATACCCACCTTCGCGGACCGATGACCCCGCCACTGAACGCGGGGCAGCAAAGGCGTATCGATAAGATCTAGAGATAGAGCACCATTGTTTGGAAATGTCTCCATTGGGCAAGTCTCATTATTTCCATCATCATCATCATCAATCACTGTTCCCGCCCAGACTCATTGCGTGTCTGAGGTCATATTTCGTCCGACCTGGGACAAGGGAGACGGATATCGTTCCTTATTGCTATTGCCGAGAAACACTACATCCTCCTTTACCGAACGCGTTCTACTTCCCAAACAATGTCCCTACTATCAGCCCACCTCGACCAAATTGGCTTCTCATGCCAAGGGATCGACTCTCTCCCGTATGCGTAACCCTAGAACATGGCTCTTGACTGACGAGAAAGTCTTGCTGACAAAGCTATCGGCCAGCTTCCCACCACCCAAGATCTTCACCAACGCCCTGCTATCCCACCACGACATCACCTCCCTCATCCGCGACACCGAATCCCACGAGCGCGCCCTCTTCTCCGTCCCGCCCCCGCCCCCTCCCCCGACCAAGCCGGCGGACCAGCACGAGGTCATCGAGCACCAGCAGAAGCGCCGTAGGACGGTCTTCAACGTGGCCTCGGGCGAGATCACCACCGGCCCGCCGACCTCGCGCGGGGCTGCGGCGCACCCGAGGCGGCACACGGCCGTCGCGGCGGTGCTGGGCGGGGAGATGCACGACGCGCTCCGCAGGGGGGAGGCCGCGGGCCGCGGGGGCGACGTGGACGTGGACGTGCTGCTCAGGGGCTCAGAAAAGCTGTGCGGCGTGTACGAGCTGCCCGGGGCGAGGGAGCGGATCGCGGCGCTGAGGGTGAGGCATAGGAACGGGAGGAACACGGCGGCGTACTACGAGGCCAAGGTGGCGGAGCAGGCGGAGGCGCTCGCGAGCCTGAATAAGAAGGATTGGATGGAGGATGAGGGGGACGAGGAGGAGAAGGAGGATGAGGAGGAAGAAGGGGATGATGTGTGGACGGTGGAGGATCTGAGGAGGGAGGAGGAGGAGGCGAGGGGGATGGAGGCGAAGAAGAGGGAGCTGCAGCTACGGTTGCAGGCGATGGAGAAGGATCTGGCGGCTTTGAAGTATATGTGATTGGAATTCAAGGTTTTATGGGTACGGTTTTCCCCAACGACAACGCTATATTAATGAAGAAATTCCTCCAGCCAACTACGAAACTCTATATGAACAAGGACCGAGACATCAGAGCCCCGGGAAAGACATTGGGGGGGTCGAGAGCGATGATCAACACTCATTGGGCTGCAGCCTTTCGCAGCGTGTCGGCAAAGACAGAGAACTCCTGGGCGCCGTCAATCTGGTACTTGCCGTTGACGATGAACTTGGGCACGCCGTGGATGCCCATGTCGTACGCCTTGCTCACCTCCTCGTCCACCTCCTTGCCGCCCTTGCCCTCGTCCAGCCAGGCCTTAGCCTCGGCGCCGTCCAGCCCCGCGCGCTCGGCCGCCGCGACCAGGTCGGCGTGCGAGGTGATGTCCCCCCCTTGCTCAAAGTACATCTTCATGATCTCCCCGACGACCTTGTGCTCGGCGTCCTTGGCCTTGCCGAACTTGACGAGGCGGTGGGAGTCGCGCGTGTTCCCCGTGCGGCTCTTGAAGGTGAAGTCGATGCCCTCCTGCGCGCCCAGGGCCTTCATGTGGCTGTGCATGGGGCCGATGCGGTCGGGCCCGAAGCGGCTGGCGAGGTACTCGTTGAGGGGCAGGGACTTTGTGGGCGCGTTGGGGTTGAGGTAGAAGGCCTGCCAGGAGACGGAGACGGTGTCGGCGGGCGAGGCGGCCTGGTGCTGGGCGATGGCGCGGTCGAGGCGCGTCTTGCCCAGGTAGCAGAAGGGGCAGACCGAGTCTGAGATGACTTTGACGTTGATCTTGGCCATGTTGGTGATCTTTATATGCGATCTGGGGTCTGTATGTGGGGGTGGGGTTCGAGAGCTCCGTGGGAGTGAATTTGGAGGGGAAAGTAGCAATTGGTCGAGCCAATGGGGTCTGGGTATTAAATACTTTGATACCTTTTGATCTACGATGCAGGGAGTATATATATTTATTGCTGCATGCTCTTCAAGCTCTTCAATTCCGGCCCGTCGTGCGGGGCTGTCGGCCATGAGCTTACAGATCACGGAAAGTCCGCTTGACGGAATAAAGTTGATTTATAAGCACAAGGCCGAGAAAAGGTACACAACCTTAATTGTATCCCACCGGTGGGTGGGTGACTCGCGTGGATTCTGTGATCTGAAATCAATGAGTGAAAAAAATAGCAGAGCTAACAATAAATCCTGGGTATCTCTCTATCAGACCACCAAAAAGGGTGGTGTTGTAGTCCAACGCCAACGCCAAGCCATGAGAACAAAACTTCCAAATGTAGCAAGAATTCACCGAATACAATGAAACCCCTTGTTGGCCTTACGGATGGTTTGCCGCAAAGCCCGAACTTGATGTGTAATTTCCCCTTCTTCTCCTACCATGGTTCCGCCAGTTTCGAGGGGAAGGGTGGCTGGCTCGTTCCAAGCATGGCACATCGAGATAGTTCAGTACTGAAATTCAATACAATATCACAACAAATAGCCTAGTCCTGAATACAATATCAAGCTGAATATTATAGAATAGTTTATTATTCTTTCATTATTCTCTTCTTATTGTGTTTAGTTAAATAATGAGGTCCCTGTCTCACGCGGAAAGAGCTTTGGTGTCTGACGCCAACCTCTTCGCGTGGATGCCGGCGCCTTCTAGCGCTGCTCCCTGGCCTCTCGGAGCTCCTTTGATCCTCATCGTCGTATTGGACAGCCCTGTCCCAGTCCTCGAGCTTGGTGTATGGGCTTCTGAGCCACGCGCGCAATTCATGTAGAAACAACTTGGTATTATCACGGCCGAGAAAGTCGGATATCATGTTCTCAGCCTCTCCCGCACTGCCCATCATATCCACGGATTTTAGAATCGCAATGATGTACTCGAGCAGGAACTCGGCATTTTGGGCTCTGCGCCTCCGGGTGGCCTCTCCATCTTGGCGATCGGACGGTCGGTTTTGGCCAGCAGACGACGTAGACGATAGACGGTCGCTCATGTCGAGGTCCTGCAGGCTAGCGGTTGATTGTGCCCTGAGGAAGGGGAAGACCTGAAGCTCCCGCCTGATCCACATCCTCGCCCGTGATACCAGCTCTTCGTCTTCACAGAACAACCGGGGGGTGAGTTCGCGGTATCGGGATAATCGGTTGGAGCCGACGTGCTTTGAAAATCGGCCGTGTGCATAAACAGCCTGTCTGCGACTGAGCGCGCGATCGAAGTCGTTTCGAGAGCGAAGAGGGGAGCGCCCCCAAGCACCTGACGAGCGGGCGTACGGGCGCCTGGAGGCGTTGGATGTTGGATTACGACCCCATCTGCTGGTTGAGACGGGGTGTGTTGATGGCGGAGACACGTGGAGGGGAAACTTTGCATCGCCAAAGTTGGAGAGGATTTCTTGGGTGGAATCGCGGATGAGACTAGAGACAGGTGCTCTGCAGACAGGGCACCTGGGATCTTTGAAGAGCCATGTTGCAATGCAGAGGTAGTCGAAGTGGCGATGCTTGCACGGTTGGGTCTCGGAGGGGTCAGAGATGGGATCGCAGCAAATCACACAGGTGGCGGTAGCATCGTCTGTTGTAGGTACGTTGGTAGTCGTGACAAGGCCTTGAGTTTGTCTCTGTTGTCGATCAGCCTCATCAGCTCCAGCACTCATCGTACGGGGGGTTATCCTTTGTTGGAGCAAGGTCGCGGACACTCATTACCAAGAGACAAACCAGAGGTGATGCAGATGAGATGAGCCGCGATCAATGACAGCGACTCGGAGCGCCGGAGTGGGGCACAGTCTGGGCGCTAATGAACGGCGGGTTTAGTGTAATCTTGCCGGGTTACAGGGGCTTGAGGGGCCTGTCAGCGTCCCGGCCGTTGTCTCATTTCGCGTCTAGTGTCGCGTCGTGCCTGTTCAATTAAAGAATTGGATCTCGACGCGTTTTCGACCTCGGAGCTCAGGGCGCAAGTAATCGGATACTTATTATGAGATCCCCCTAAACGTTTCTTTACCATTCCGAACAAGTCTTTCATATATGGGAATTCATCATTTATATGACCCTCAGCCATGGATTCTCAGACCAAGTCTGAGTATGAAGCCAAGTGCGCGAAGCTACGCCTCGATTTAAAGAAGTGGGAAAGCGACTGGGCAAAAGCACACAGCGGGAAGAAGCCCGGTCGAGACGACATCAAGAACAATGCAGAAATAGGTAAGCATTCTCGAATTTCTTGCCTATCCCTTGTTCTAACCTAACCTCCGCTTCATAGCCCAAAAATACAGGCACTATCAGAAATGTCGAGATATCTTAGATGGCAAAGCGCCAGTACCACCGCCCAAAGACGAAACCAGGTCGAGGAAACATAGAACCGAGCAGCCACCGTCAGAAACTCCCATGAAAAAAGCAAAGTTTGCTGAAACCCCCTCCAACAACCGGGTCCAGGACCTCAACGACTTGGCCACCACCCCTTCGATATCGAGAAAGTTGTTCAGTCCTAGCGGCGTGACATCTCTTGGGCCGACTCCCCAACGCGATGGCCGAGTACTCGGGCTATTTGATTTACTAGTTGAGAAGGAGATTGGGACGCCTTCGAAGATAGAGATGGGTGTGCGATCAGAGGTTCGGGGTGATGTTGGCGTAACACCTAGGAAACAAAGAGCCGTGATGGAGAGCGTAAGTTCACCGGAACTCACCCGCTCGCCCATGTCAGCAAGCAAACGTCAGATGCTGGATACCTTCATGACGCCTCTGAAGAAGCGAAATGGTAACCCAGTTGGGGCCGTCACCCCATCATCAGTGTCGAAGCTTCAATTCGAGACCCCCCAGTTCTTGAAAAGACACTCGTTACCCGTCGTGAACGAGGATGAGGACAACATATTTGGTGCTCCAGCTCCACTCAGGCTACCACGGAAGCCTCTTGGGAGGGGATTGAGTGAGATTGTGGCCAGCCTTCGAAGGATTGAGGAGGACGAGCTCGACGAAGATTTGGATGCTTTGCGCGCAGTTGAGGATGAAGAACTGGGCAGACCGATCCAGCCTCAGAAACCGCCCCCCGATCAGAGTATTCTGGCCAAGGATGCAGCGGCAGAACACTTACCACTTGGTGGTTTCGACGACGAGGGAATGTATGACAGCCCAGTCGAGGATGAGAAGGATCGAGACGGCAACCCTAGAAAGATCTTCAAGAAGAAGGGACAGAAGAGAACAACAAGGAAAGCCAACATCAAACCTGTGTGGACGAAGAGACCTGTGGAAGATGCTGGAGGTGACGAGGGACAGGATCAGTTGGCTTCGGGCGACAACGACGAATTCCAGCCACAGTCCGACGCTGAGTCAGGAGATGACAAGCATAAGGAGAAGCGGAAGAAGAACAGGCCCCAAACAGGTAAAGAGTCAACCAAGGGAGTAGTCAAGCGCGCGGCAAGAAAGGTGAACGAGCTGGCGCATGCCAACTTTCAACGCCTCAAGCTGCGGCAGAATGGTGCAAAAGGAGGACCAGGCTATAACAGCCGATTTCGGAGGAGAAGGTAATAATTGGATTCCCTGCTGGAAGAAATGGATTGGTTTGCTTCTCGCATAACGACTCATGAATTATGAACTGGAGTTGGCGTAGGTGCTATCGGGTGTTGGGAAGGTTATCTTGGTCATCCGGATATGTAGTTTCCTTATAACTCAGCAAGCGGATGATATTATCCATATGCCATGGAATTGAATATTGAGGATTAAAGGAAAAGAAGAACAGCAGATCCATACCTTGACTAATCCGAATCATAACTTTTTTTATATTACAAGTGAGGTGTAAGTCAGCGCAAGGTGAGAAGGACTGGAGATTCCCGGCTTCTGATTGGTGGAGTAGCACGCGCTAATCTCAACCTTTGTTCCCCCTGTTCTCTCGCTCTTTATTTCTAATCCATTTGTAAATGAAGTACGAGTGAATGAATTTCGTGTAATGAACATCATCTTTATTCCCTGGTGAAGCACGTCGTCGCGGCTCGATTTTTCTCTTTGCTTTTCGCGGGGACGGGGCGTGGGCCTTTGCTTTTCTCTATGTCGACGAAATCGCGATGGAGGAAGTTTCTATAGATGACTTTTTCGACCCAGACCTCCAGGCGTTTTTTGATAACCCGTTTCTGGACAATCTAGACCATGACGTGGGAGATGTAGCGGAAAGTCCCTTCGGAGTGAGCCTTCCTTTGTGGGATGCTCTGGTTGTGCCTGCCGCTGAGCAGGAGCACACTATCGAAGAGGCCTGCCTGCGAGAGTCTCCGGACTTTGAAATCGATGGATTTCCAACCCCAGATTTACATCCATCCAAGCCTTCCCCTCCTTCACAGCGCGAGACTTCTCCTCCCCTACCATCACAACCAAAGCGAAAGTCAACTTTTCAGGTTGAGATACCACAGTCGACCTTATTAACCCCGCGTTCATGTTATGAGCCTTTTGAGCCAGAATTTCCTCTCAAACGGGAGAGCGAGGTTCTACAAGAACTCCTTCCGTTGGCTAGAGAGGAAGACATGTCTGATGGCGAATATCTGGAACTCCAACTGGACGATTTTGCCGTTTACAATGAGGCAGCTCATTATGGCTTGCAGATGAGATCTCTCCACCAGCTGGACACCAAGGACCGCGGTGGCCATTTTCACTTCGATGGAGTTCTTAGATGCCGAGACAGAGCCTTCTATGTCAAGCATGTTCCGATCAAGGCAATGCCTATCCAAAACTATGGCGACCCTACGCATCAACATACCGTCCGCGATTCTATCTGGCTGGAAACACCACTCAGTGGCAAAAACAACTTATTTTATCGCCTAGGGAAGCCTGCGTCCGAATACTCGCGCTTCTTCCGGCCTTTTCTATGGGTTGCTGACTTGGCTAAACATTTCGTCGACTATCTCGACGCGATGTGGGAACAAAAACAACGCGTTTCCATCCATCACTTCCGTGTGGATTTTTACAACTGGCTTCGGACAACTCATGGAAACGCAAAGGAACTGAATAAATGGCTATCTATGCACCCGAGTACAGACTATCGTACGTCTATCGTCGCAAATATTCATTTTCTTTACAAGGAAGCCATTGGCGTGCTGGATCAAAGAGCTACATATGTTCATCTACTATGGAAGGACTTGGCTTGGGATAACTCATGTTTCCAGCGCTATCAAGAAATACCAGAAAGTTTATACTCGCCTCTGGATCTTTCAAGAACAGTCGTCACACCGTACATATTTGACTGTTTTAAACATTTGCCGTTTGGTGACCGGCTCGACGCTGTTCAATTTAGCGACGAAACGCAAGCCTTACGGGACAAGCTCATCCAGGAGCTCTCATTCAATGGCAGCAAGGATGGCTATTCAGATTCAGCTGCATTACTTGCTACAAAGGATCGAATCCGCAATATCAAGCCAGGCGATACAATCTCAACGCACCGCGACAGTGAAGAATCAGGGTCAAAATGGCAGAGGGAAACATCTAAAGACTTCTCGGATGTTGATCGATGGTTTGCCCGAGTACAGCAAGTCAGCGTCAAAAAAGGCAAACGCTGCTTCGACGTGTCTTGGTATTATCGGCCCGTCGATACGCTCTGTGGGTTGATGAAATATCCCTGGAAAAATGAGATCTTCCTCTCCGATCATTGTTCTTGCGAAGAAACATTCAAGATTACGGAAGACGAAGTGCTCGGTGTCCATGATGTAGATTTCCACGGAAACCCATCGACAAGCTCGGAATTATTCTGCAGACTAGCCTATATCCACCAGGACAGGAAATGGGTCTCTTTGAAGGAGGAGCACTTGGTCTGTGAACACGTACGTGATCGCGTGGAAAGTCCTGCATACTGCCCGGGTGACACAGTCTTGGTTCGCGTTGACGGATCCGACCGATCAGAGCCTTGTGAGGTTCTCTCGACTGAAACGAAAACTAGCCGAGGGCGACTACGAAGATCTCTCACACTACGGAAACTACTACGTCGCTCCAAGGTTGATAGAAAAACTCAAGCGGTTCTCCCCAATGAACTTGTTTATTCGGACGAACTTATCACGGTGCAAGAGGATCAAGTCATGGGGCCTTGCCACGTTCGCTTTTTCCCTGTCGGGACACCTATAAGTCGCCCTTACGACCGCAATGGCGTGGGGAATTTATTTGTACTCAGGCACAGATTGGTATCGTCATTTGAAACTGCCAGGCTGGAATCTCTAACGGAGTGCCCAGGGTCATTGCATGAAGGGTTTGCGGAAATGAAGTTGCCTCAGTTACGCGGCCTGGATCTCTTCTGCGGTGGCGGTAACTTTGGTCGAGGCTTGGAGGAAGCTGGTGGTATCAAAATGCACTGGGCCAACGATTACGTTTCGAATGCAATCCACACCTACATGGCCAACGTGGAAACGCCCGACGAGGTACATCCCTTTCTAGGCTCTATCGACATTCTGCAGAAGCTCGCTCTCGAAGGGTATTCCTCCAAGAACATTCCTGCTCCAGGGGAAGTGGATTTCATCTCAGGTGGAAGCCCTTGCCCAGGCTTCTCTTCCCTAACCAACGACAAGACCACAGTTGCGCAGCGGAAGAACCAGTCATTAGTGGCTGCCTTTGCTTCCACAATTGATTTATACAGGCCAAAATATGGCCTCCTTGAGAATGTCACCGGCATCGTTCAAAAGAAGGCAAATCGAGACCA